CGCCCCTGCTTTTACTCTGTCTAACATCAGACAATTCTACTCAAGCCTGAAAATAAGCGGTCGGTCACGGACATTGTCCGGTACGAAAAGGTAATTATCCGGCACAACTGCTTTTTTGCCGGACAGTTTGTCCGGCAGATACAACTATTGGTGAAATTGTCTACAACTGCCATTAAATTATATTGCATTCCGCATCTAAAAGTTATCTGTATGTCCAAATTTCATCGCGTACGAATATTAAGACAACATGCCTGTGAAAATGCTGCGAAATTTATGATTGTTCGATTCCGTATGATATAATTGACTAGTGGCTTAATTGTTGTTACTAAGCTTTTCATCGGTTGGCTTCTTTTATTTCGAGGACCACGAAAAACTATATTTGCTTATACATGAGCGGCGAATTTTATGAACCATTTTTTCGCTACTACGGTGTGACTACGCGTAGTTGCGTAGTAGCCTGCATGGTATAGTGTCCCACGTACCGACATGTCATATAAGGGTCTGATAAGTGCCAGACAACGTGTTACACGCATTTATAATTATTGTGTTGAAAACGCGCAGTTGCCAAGTAACTACAGTGTAAATTGACGCAATTAATATACACGCCAGATATGTCAAATATACTAAGGATGCTGGCGGTGAAACTACGCGTAGTTGCGTAGTAGCCACGGGAGATCTACATGCCAGAAATTGGTCTGCACGCGAAACAAAATAAACAGGCACTGTAAAGCATGGCTTCGAAAAGGGCAAAAGTCGACTTTTCTGCTGAAGCCATTTTGCGAAAAATCCAAGAGAGAAAAGAGCTTTTAAACCATATAAATACCTTAAAAGGTCAACTGGTATTAGAGGAGGTTACGGAAAGTCTGAGAAGTTTAAGGAAACATTTATTTATTTATTTATTTAAAAATTCGCCCTATTTACATAATTAAGATAGAATATACAGTATAACGTCTGTTGAATACTAGAGCTAGGAGCCTTTAAGAAACTTTAAGAAGCTTTTAGTGCAAGGCCCCTATTACAGCAAATATTAAATTCAAACGATAGCTATTTGTCAGTTAATATATAGTACATAAAATTTTAAAGAAAGTTGTGATATAGTTTTACAATAATATAGATATACAACAAATATGAAGTTAGGAGTTCATGATGATGGAAGCATTGTTTTTACCCTACATTGTTTTAGACGTGCATGAATAATATAATATAATGCTGTATTATTATTATTCTTGTGTTTGATAATAAATTTTAGCCTGTTTTTTGAACGATTGGTAAAATTGGATGGATTTTAAATCTTCGTTCAAATTACTCCAAATATCTACTCCTTTATTGGAGAGAGTATGTTTCATATAATTAGTTCGGGTGTAGGTTTTATGTAGTTTTTTGGAACTTCTAGTATTGTGATTATGAATTTCATTATTAGTTTTGAAAAAATTGTTGAAAATTTCGGGCATATTGTTCATGTTGTAAAATTGAAACATAAATAAACTGGTCAAATAATCATTTATTTTGTAAATATTTAATAGATTTAATTTTTTGAATAATGGTTCCGTGTGCTCAGAATACGGTTTGAAAGTGATTAGACGCACATCTTCTTTTGGACACTCATCAATTTTTGCAATTTTCAAGGGTACGTGCTACCCCAAGCTATATTAGCGTAAGTGAGATAAGGATAGACAAGGGCATAGTAAAGCAATTTTTAATGTATTTTGATTCGTATAATGCCGAATTTTAGAAATAATTCCGGTTGATTTAAATATTTTTTTTAAAACTGAACCAATGTGATTATTCCATGTGAGTGTTTCATCGATTAGAACACCCAAGAATTTTGTACATTTCACTTGTTCGATCGACTGGTCATTTATTTTAATATCAATTTTAGTTAGTTGCTTTTTATTGCGTGCTCTGAAAAGGATCAATTTTGTTTTAGTTGTATTTATAGAGAGTTTATTTGTGTTTAACCATTTAAGTATTTCATTCATCTCTCTTTGCATTGTTTCTTTTGCTATATTAATGCTCGAATTAGAATAGAATGCGTTTGTATATCATCTGCAAACAGGACAAATGAAACAACATCACTGCAGTTTTGTATGTCATTTATGTATAATAAAAAAGTAATGGCTCAAGAACAGTTCCTTGGGGAACACCAGTTGTAATTTTCATTTCTTTAGAATTTTCCTGCTTGAATTTCACAATCTGCTTTCTATTCATTAAATAGTTTTTGAACCACGTTAAAGCAAGCCCTCTTACTCCATAATGCTCCATCTTTTTTAATAAAATATCATGATCGACGATATCAAAAGCTTTTGATAGGTCAAGAAAAATTCCTATTGTATATTTACCTTCATCAATTGCTTTGGTAATTTTGTTAATAAGATTTACAATTGCTATTTCTGTTGATTTATTACGCCTAAAACCATACTGGTTTTCTGTTAGTATTTTATTTTTCTCAATAAAACTAATTAGTCTTTTGTACATAAGTTTCTCTAATAGTTTAGAGAAACACGTCAGGACGGAAATAGGTCTGTAATTTTCAAATATTTGTTTATCACCCGCTTTAAAAATAGGAGTAACCAGAGCCAACTTTAACTGCTCAGGGATAAAACCTGTTGCGAAACTTAAGTTGAATATATGGGTAAGTGGTTGACTAATGTCTGTTGCGACAGTTTTAATGATTTTGGCATTGATTTCGTCATACCCAGGGCTTTTATTGTCTTTCAATTTAAGTACTTCAGTTATCATTTCGTTTTCAGTTATTGGATTTAGAAACATACTGTTCATGAAGTTTCCCGTAAGATATTTTTGAATTGAAGTCTCCAAATTTCCATTTATTTTGCTGGCCAATTGTGGTCCAATATTTATGAAATATTCATTAAATTTATCAGCGATTTTTGAAGGGTTTGTTATTGATTCGCCTGAGTTTTTTGCAATGAATTTGTTAGGTAATTCTTTAGTTTTTAAATTTTTATTTAATAGTGTATTAATGGTCTTCCATGTCATTTTAGTATCGTTTTTATATTTTATGAATAATTCTTCATAGTGTAGTTTTTTGGCAATTTTAATTACATGTTTCAACTTATTTTTAAATCTTTTATAATTTTTTTCATTTCGCTCAGTAGGATTTTTTAGAAATTTCTTATAAAGTGAGTTTTTAGTTTGTACAGATTTACAGATGGACATTGTCATCCACGGACTTTTAACTGTATCAATTTTTCTCTGATTAATTTTCTTAAGTGGAAAACTAGCGTCATAATTATCTTTAAATATATTAAGGAAATTGTCAAATGAAACTCCAGCATTAGAGTTTGATAGTACATTTTCCCAAGACATAGATTTAATCCTATCCACAAATTTTAATTGGTTAGCTCTATTTATCATTCTCCTATATTTTATGTTAGTGTTTTTTCTATTTTTGGTATTTTCTTTGTTTACTCCACATATATGAAATATAGGTAAATGATCTGAGATGTCACTAAAAATTAAACCATTTTGACTGTAATTAATTTTCTCTAGGTCATTCGAAAATATATTATCAATTAGAGTCGCAGTGTGTTGAGTAATTCTTGTAGGCATTGTAATTAAGGGAAAATAGAACGATGTAAAAAGATTTTGTGTAAGTCTATTTGCAAAATCACACGTTTCATTTTTTAGCATATCAACGTTAAAGTCACCCATGAGATAGCACGTTTTATTCTCTTTGTCAATTTTGGACAATGTTTCATTCAGTGCTCTTTCAAACTCATCAAATTTACTGTTCGGTGGTCTATAAATCACCCCAACAATAATATTTTTACTAACTTTTGTGGGTATTTCAATAAACACAGACTCAATTATGTCCTCTTCAGTGGCATTCAGATCATTCCTAGTTTTATATTTAAGATGTTGTGAAATATAAATACCCACTCCACCACCTTTTTTAAGTTTTCTGTTTACATTCACAAAATCATAGTTTTTTAATGAGAAATTATCTTGATTATCATCATGAAGCCATGTCTCAGTTAATCCAATAACTGAAAAATTAGTATTCAAAGATCCCAGCATGTGATTGAACAAGTCAAATTTATTTGATATGCTTCTTATGTTTAAGTGCATTAATTTTAAATTATCCTCAATATTTTTTCCAGCAAATCTTTCTGCAAATTCGTTTGGTAAGAAATAGTTGCAGTCAATGTTTTCATTATCTAACAGGTCGCCAAGGTTTGACTCATTTCTTTTTAATAGACTTGCAGCGTCTGCGTGTCTTAAGTCGCTAAACGGATTAAATTTCAGTCCTTCTAGTCTATCCCTTTCTCTTTCGCTTATATGTCTGTTGTTTTTAACAGTAAACTCATAGTCTTCGTCATTTAGTGATTGGAACGGCAACGATTCATTTAAACATATATGACATATTTCAATTTCCTTTGCATCATAGGCAAAGTGTGTTTTGACGCAATTCTGAGACGCATGGAGCCATTTTTGACATGTGGTACATTTGAGACATCTACTGTGCGCTTCAATTGACTTACAGCAAGAACGGCATTTCTTTATATTATTTCTTGAGCTAGCCATGAATAAAGTTGTACATTTTAATCACATTTCTGGAGACGCATAAACTCAAGGTGTATTAATTGAGTGAACAAAAATTGCACTTTGCGTGACCTGCATGTTGCGTGACCTGCATGTTGCGCAAACTGCTATTAGTGTATATGAGTACTGAAATTCATGTTTGTGAAATGGCATTTCTAATATAGTTAAATTATTCATAGAGAAAGGAAATTTATAATGAGACCTAACAATAAATGTTCTACAGTTAAGAGTTAATAGGACGATATAGATGCCTATCAATGTACAGTTTGTCACGAGCCAATCTCACATGCTTACCCGCTTGTCTCGCTTCCTTCATGACGGGGTATAATTTCTTTCTCTCGCGCTCGATTTCTTCGGGAAATTGCTCTTGAATGAACATGCATGTAAACTTCGATGTAGTTGGTTTGCTCGCGTTTATGTTCGGATTCGACGCAATTATGTGGATTATGTTAGCAATCAGACATGTACCCAAAACCTTCGCGAGATACAAAAATAGTCGCTGCAACATTATTTTTACAATAATCGATCACTCATGCCCCTGCCGGTTTTCGGTGACATTGGTTGACGATATCGTTTGTTTTCTGGAAGAATTTGCGCCTGAAAGCCCTTTCTTGGGAAATTATTCTGCTGTTTTTGAGGAAGCCTTATGTACCCTCAGCAAAAGAGAGAAATTAAATTTTGGTGGTTTCATCGTGCCTCCAGTGGAGGACTGCTTGAGATGTGGATCCATTTTGTCAGCTCCAAATCCTCCGAGCAGTTGTACTTTGTATACAATCACTGGTCCGAAACAGTGCGCGAAACTGGTACTTCGATGTAAGGACTGCAAAGTCTCGTATGGTCGCTCAATGATAGCTGAAGGCAAAGGAAACGCTTCCTACTATTTTGAGGCTATAGCCGCTGCTGATGATCTTATTGAAGTGACCAATGTTGTATACATGGAAAAAAGATTATACAGATGGCTACCGTCCCTTATGTAAGTAATTAAAATATAGATATTAAATATATACGGTATTGGTATAGACATAGTAAATTCAGTTTAATTTCTTTGTATGACGTCTGATGACCACTCTCGAAGTTTGTTCAACTTGCGGTCAAAGAAATTACATTTATTGCCTGCATGCATGGATCTCAGCAATGTTAAACGCAAGTTATATGACCTATTTTCTTTTTGCAGGAATCATTGTTTTGTTTCATTTGAGGGATTTTCAGTGTCCTATAATGAGTTGTTCAGTCGCGAAAATAGAAAAAATTTTGAATCGGGTAATTTCATTGACATTCTTGGACTTATTACTATTAGTTCATTTCTTCGAATATATAAAAATACTTTAATATAGTTTATAATAACATGAATCGCATTTAGATGTTACAGGAGATCAAAATGACGACAAGCATCAAAATTTTGTCCCCAGTTTCTCAGATGGTAAGCAACTAATGTATCTATAATTTTCAATATGGTTGTCACTTGTCATGTAAAAGAGCAAGAATTCCTTGACCTTGTTATTGTTATCATATTATAAAGCTTTCTATTATAAAGTGTCTCGAATTCATGTTTTTATAATACTGATAAAACCTGTAGTTGGCTTGAACATTTTTAGACCATTAGTTATGCATGTTTAAAAATTTCTTCATGCAACTTTTAAAATTTGTCCTAAACCTAAATTAAACGTTTTAAAGAGTAAAAAAATAAACTATGTATGTCCGTTTGTCTAGCTTTTAAATTGCGGAATTGAAATAAACTGTAGATGCTGTTAACTAACCATATAATTAACTAAATTTCAACGTATTCAAATAATTCAGTGTCCAGTGAGCGCAAGGTTGTTATACGTTTACTTATAGTTATCTGGTTTCACACAAAAGTAGAAACTGGACCTATGGCTATGAAGATAAAATTATTAAAATATATATTGCAATGAACCTTGTAGAATTGGATGATGACAACGACGAGGAACCTGTGCACGATACATCAGGTAAATTACAGATAACAATGACATTACTAAGACTAATTAAGTAACATATGTGCAGTATACATAAAATACTCTAATTACTCATGGACGATGTTGTTTCTGTAATCATTCTGTAACTCCCTAGGGCCCTTACGATGGATATGGCTCGACTGCGGTTGATGCCATTACAGGTCATCATGAAAGTTTTTGAAATAATTTTTTAATTAAACAACCTAGCTGTCCCCCAAGAATATATCCGATCATGATCTAATGACATCCTAGTATTTACATATGATCAATATAATATCTAAACAGTTTTTCTCATTTAATTAATTTATCCTGGTGCTAGTGTCAACACTCAAAAATTAATTGCATCCGCATTACGGAATGAAATGTTGATATATTAAATTTAATTAAAACATATATACTCTATACTATACAGGGTATGAACTGAACAGATTTCAAAACAAAAGTTGTTGGGTTGAAGAATATGTTGGGTTTTTAATTATTACAAGTAAACGCATGCTTTGAGGGAAATCAGTGATTAAATGTCCCCGCAAACCGAGGAAGGCTTACTTTTACTAAACCTCCCGAGGTTTGCAGGGTCATTTAATCACTAATTTCCCTCAAAGCATGCGTTTAGTTTGTAAATACATGGTAGCCAAGGGAATCTCGCATGGTGTGTTGGTCTGATTTGAATGCTGTTTGATGATTGTCTTATGATTGTGGGATGAACACTTTTCATATACAGGTGTATGTACCACAGAATACCACAGTACCACAGAATACCAGTTTTTTTACTTCTATAAAATTTGGACGAAACATGCCATATACTTTATAATTGTGAATATATATTAGTTTTAGTCTTAATGAACATATGAAAACAAAACATGGATATTTTCATAAAAAATATTAAAAATAATGTGGATTAACAAGAAATAAAGCTCTATGATTTCGATAATGTTTTCCTCTTAAATGCTGTAAAATCCAAACGTTTGGAAATAAGTTTGCAAATCCACATAATTTACGTTGACAATACTGTATGTCATAAATTAACCCTAATCTGATAACCACTACCGTTTATATTTTCGAAAAATGGAAGTTTCTATTTACTACCTTGGATAACCATTTGAATGGTATTCTGTGGTACATGAATCTATATCGTTTTTCAACATCTTGTAGAAAAGAGAGAAAAATATGTAAATAGTAAAATATATTTATTTCACTTAAGGAACATACAAAAGAACAACATAACATTGGCTAATAACCATATCATATTTAAAAACGTCAAACCCTGAAAAGAGTTTTTAATAAAATTCGTCCTCAACTAAACATGTCCGGTCAATGTTCTTGACAAGTTCGAACTGAGACTTGACATTTTCATAACACGGAACTAAAAACTGTGTTGCACCCTTTGGTATTACTTCTAAAGGGCCTGCAATGATTTTTGAAATGTCAAATGTTGCTTCATCTGCTGACAGATGCTTAGGTGTGTCTTCCAAAATGTTGCCAGACCCAACCTTTGGTTTCAAACACTTCATCAGAATGCTGTCTACTGGCCCATCCTTGTCTCTTAAAAATCGGCGGCTTGCTTTTGCAACAAAGTTGTAAGCTCCTTTCATGTGATTCTTCAATGAAAGCTTGTGCTGACATGCATTTTGATTTCCAGTACAGTGCAGAATTTTTCCAAATGTTCTGAGGTGATAACACATAAGCATGTGATGTTGCTGGAACTTCATTGGTGTGGTTTCCATCTAGAATGCCTTCAGCTTGCTCAAACTTGTCTTTCTGCATAAAGTTAACATTTAATCCAGTCGCTGTGACACCAACACGTTTGGCAGCTTTCAGAAGAGATTGTTTAGATACCCATCCGTTCCACATGTTTGCAAGGATGTGCATGAATCCTTCTCGGTTGATGGTTCTTGCAGTAGTGAACAGTTCATGTTTTGAGTTTTTTGTAGCTTAGATGCAAACTGCGGTTAACCTGATCTAGAAGTTGTGTAACTCCTAAAAGTAAGACATAACTGCTACATTTTGTGTGCAAATGTAACTGTATATTAAACCTTGTTTAATTAACAGTTTTTATATATACATGTGTATGTATGTATTTATTATTTAATAATGCTGTAATGAGTATGAAATGTAATTCTACCACACACATTCCTTGACAAGGTTTCAAAGAGCAATTACCTTGTAAGTTTGATACCTTGTCAAGGAATACGAGTTGTAGAATTACCACCTCTACAGTAAAAATAGGTACGCATCGCGTACATGTATCTGCAAAAAAACTTGATTCACATTTTGTATTTCCTTGAAAGGAACTGAATAATGAAGATGACATGGGACAATTGAAATATTTCATCACTTATTATTATAATAAATATAATAGCAAATAAGACTTTAGCACAGGGCAGCAAGGACAACTGCCCCTCCCCCGCAAAAATGTAACTAATTTTATAATGTGATTATGATTGTAACATAATTATGCAGTCAATTTCATGCAAACAATATTTGAAGTGTCTATACAGCCAACAGCCGGCTATATAAGTTCTGTCACTTGTTGTTTACACTTGCCAATGTTAGGGGTGCTCTGGAACTCGGCCAGAACCCTGATTTTTCAGAGTGCCGGAACTAATAAAAAAACCATGGCTGGGGAACCGGAAACTTTGTCCTTTTCAAAGAGAGAGAATACCAATGCAAGTTTATTTATTGAATAGCATAGGAAGAAATTTGGACTACACAACATAAATGTACACTATTAACACTTTATTATGACGTTTAAGTCAATCTTTTTATTCTAACATTTGTGTGCTCTCTCCTTGATGACTGAAAGTGTCATATATGCTTTCTAAACTGCTTAAATAGTGCTCCCATTATGCTTTGCGCACTTAGAGTTTAAGGTTTAAGGTTTTAGAGTTTAAGGCCAAGGACAATCTTTATTGAATTAGCTGTATATATATATATATATATATATACAGTCTTTTCAAAAAAGGTTGTGATCTGGAGATATATATATATATATATATATTGAAGATTGAGCACGCAATGAGCTTTGGGAAATTGAATAATTGCATTTGATTAATTTGATTTGGTTGAAATGCCGGCCCCATACAGTCGAGATTTACGATGGAGAGTGATTTGGTTGGCAGAAATTGTGGGTGTTAGATTTACAGGAAGTAAGTTTCTTTCTTCAATTATTGGAGATGACGATAAGGCGTTACGTAAAAAAGTTCAGAGAATTGGGAAATGTCAGCACTGCTATCATTGGTCGACCATATAATTGTATCGCAATACATCCACACGAAGAGCTTGTCATATTTGAAATCTTGCAGCAATATCCCGAAAAAACGCTGGGAGAGGTGCTGCACAAACTTTAGAGAGACAGGGTCACAATATGCATGCTCGACCTAGCCTGCGTGGCAGGCCCTCAGTTTTATGGGGGGCCTGATTTGCAACGGGCAGGATTTTGGCGGGCTCCGGGGGAGGATTAAGGGCCTGCAGGAAAGACCACCTTTCATGACTACACGCCGTTCAGATTCTGAACGGTGAATACAATCACCTGATTGGTCAATACCGAGGCAGTGGAAAACCGTAGTATTTGTTGATTTCAATATTATGGGCTTATGGCTTCATGTACTTTCGAGAGTTGCTTGTCAACTGTGCTAGAAAATCTTGAACATCGCAGCTATTTCTTTCAATTAAAAGATGAACAAAAGCGAGCTTTAAGAAGTTTATTTGAACGTCAGGATGTTGTTGGCATTCTTCCAACTGGTTTTGGAAAAAGTCTCATCTTTCAGCTTTTGGCTCTGTTGGCGACGGAGATGTTTATGAGGCAAGGCGAAGAAAAACGTGACGGAACAATGCTAGTTATTTGTCCACTGCAAAGTTTAATAGAAGATCAGATACGAGAAGCAGCAGACCTCCTAGGCATTTCAGCTTTGAAGACGTAAATGATGGTAAATTTCAAGTAATTTATTCATCCCCAGAATGTGCACTTGAACAAGGATTTATAGATGCATGTCTAAAGAATGAAAATGGACATTTCCACAACAACATGGCTGCAGTAGTTATTGATGAATGCCACACAATTGAAACCTGGACAGGAAAAAGGTATTGACAATATTTATCTTATAGTAAATGCTTTATACCAAATACTAATACTGCATACTTTCAATCTTTATGACCATTCGCGTTATATTGTTTATTACAAAATTTTAAAATAACACATAACTATTTTCATAATTTGTCGATTATTACATTGCTGGAGTTTACTTTTATTTCATTGTGCATTTTCTTAGGAAATCAGGAGCAAAGGGAGAAAAGACCAGACAAGCCTTCCGAGGGCGATTTGGAGATTTGGTAATGCTAAGATCACTTCGCAAAGAAGGTATATATTTGTCTCATTTACTAATTTTACATGTAATGGCATGTTATTGTCTCGTTTTATACTAACTTTACATGTAATGGCATTAATACTGTGAGCATATATTTCTCACTAAAACAGGTGTTCTTTGATTCCCCTTCGTAAAATAGCTAGATTATCTGTTTGGGAAAAAGTTACAATTGTTTCCTCAACAGATAACCTTCACAAATGAGTTAACCAATTGTTAATAAGCAATGTTAATACTGCACTTAATAGTTAACACAATATAAATGAGCCTCTGGGAGTTTTGTCTTATTGCTTTAGATCCCTTTTTTATACCTATTGTATTTACAAACTCTTTAACATCTTTGTCATAGTGGGGGTAAATAATAACCATGTGAGCAGAACTCATTGAACAGTCTGGTAAGTTCCACCACTGTGCCATGGCTTAGTCTCTGCTTTAAATTTAATTATTTCTTAAGGAACTCCTTTCTTGGCTCTTACTGGCCACGGCTGACGAGAGTACATTAAATGTAATTAAATCAGATCTGTTGTTAAAGAGTCCTGATTGTGTCTTTGTCAGCCCTGAGAGAAAGAACATAAGGTTCAGTGTAAGAAAAGTATGGAATGCCGATTGTTTCAATGATACTTCTGTCGCAAATATAATACTTCTTTGCGATTATAATACTTTGTATCACATTTATACAACTTATCATTACTAATATAAAACTTCCATGTATAAATATAATACTTCATTGCAAATATAAAACTTCATTGTAAATATAATACTTCTTTGTAAATATAATACTTGATCGCAAATATAATACTTCTTTGCAATTATAATACTTCATGTCACATTTATACAACTTATCATTACTAATATAAAACTTCCATGTATAAATATAATACTTCATTGCAAATATAAAACTTCATTGTAAATATAATACTTCTTTGTAAATATAATACTTGATCGCAAATATAATACTTCTTTGCAATTATAATACTTCATGTCACATTTATACAACTTATCATTACTAATATAAAACTTCCATGTATAAATATAATACTTCATTGCAAATATAAAACTTCATTGTAAATATAATACTTCTTTGTAAATATAATACTTGATCGCAAATATAATACTTCTTTGCAATTATAATACTTCGTGTCACATTTATACAACTTATCATTACTAATATAAAACTTCCATGTATAAATATAATACTTCATTGCCAATATAAAACTTCATTGTAAATATAATACTTCATTGTATTAAAATATAATACTTGATCGCAAATATAATACTGCTTTGCAATTATAATACTTCGTGTCACATTTATACAACTTATCATTACTAATATAAAACTTCCATGTATAAATATAATACTTCATTGCAAATATAAAACTTCATTGTAAATATAATACTTCTTTGTAAATATAATACTTGATCGCAAATATAATACTTCTTTGCAATTGTAATACTTCGTGTCAAATAGAATACTTGATCGCAAATATAGTACTCACATCGCAAATAGAATACTTCGTCACAAATATAAAACTTATATAGAACGTTATAAAATCCTGGGTTAATATTCAACTTGGGAAAGTACGAAACTGCAAGAAATTCGGAATAATTAAAGAAGCTTGAAATTTACAAAATTTCACATTTAGACTACTGGATTCCAGAGCCTTCGACAGTAAATAATAAATTGAAATGTCGTGAAGGCTCTGGTTCAACGGGGAGATTCTTTGATTGAACCGCGCCAATCACAAAACAGAATTAGTGGTTTTATTACAGAGAATCTCCCCGTTGAACCAGAGCCTTCGCGACATTTCAATTTATTATTTACTGTCGAAGGCTCTGGAATCCAGGGTGCATTTTAGACAAACTATTAGAAGGATATTTGGGGGGAAATTCTGGAAGAAAAATTTGAAAAAGTGTGCATGAAAAACACAGTGAACATCGGGGTAGAGTGGAAGCAACTGGGAAGCACGAAGCACTGCTACTTTGGCGCCATTTCACTGTTTGGCGCCAAAAAGCCTAAAAACATGGCGGACAGACAATCGAACCCAAGTAGTTCAAGTAGTAGTGATTCACATGGCTCTCTCGTTAATCAATTATGCAGACTTGTCAACACAATAAGACAAGGCAACAATGATGGGCACAGACGCGAAAATGAAAACCATCCAACGGAAACAACGAGTGCTGCCATAACTAGATTATTCCCTAGTGTGAACGGCAGGAGAAATACAACAAATTATACAAACCCTATTACACCACAATTTGTACCAAGCCGGATGAACGTCCCCAAACAAACGAAACGAAAGAAACCTTATTCTAAAAAGAGTGAAGCTTCATCTACTCCTGTTATGAAAGATGTGATTCTTCTTCCAAACCCGAGAATGAAAACTGTTCCTTGTGGGCGTAAAAGAGAGGAGCTTTATGCTCGTGGTTTTGTTGCCACAGCTTTTAGTATAACAAACGAAATGACGAACGTGCAAATGCACCAACAGTTCTCAACAATGTTCTCAGAGAAGCTTAAAGGTACTAGGACTTTCACTATCGTCAGAGCGGTGGGAAACAGAATTGTCGAAATAAATATATCTCAGGAAATTACTGGAAAAGTATTAAAGCATATTTGTGGACAAGGCCCTGTATACCTCCGCTGCGTTAGAGCAACTGATACAGAATTTGCTTGGGTTGATGCAGATGATGAGTCTGATACTGATGATGGGGAAACTGTTGGTATCGAGAGTGAATGTGATGAGCTTCCTACTTTTTTAACTACACCTGAAAATCCAGCATCTGCACATATGCCCATCACTACCAGATCAGAATATACGGATAGCACTCCCAATATATTAAGAAATAATTGCACCCCCAGTTTAACAGACAGTGTAATTCAAGGACAAGTTGGTACAGTTGCCTGCCCCAGCTGTAATATGAGATTCCCTGTTAGTCAAATTGAGCAACATGCAGATGCTTGTTGTGAAGGGAGATCATCTGAAGCATCTTTATATGGAACATGGGTTTTAAATCCTACAATTGATACAATTGAAGTGCCAGATGAAGACCCTTTTGTGGACGAAATAGCAAATCAACAGGAAAGCCCGTATTGACAACCAAAGAGCTTATCAAAACACTAATCACAAATGTTGCCAGTTCATCAAATAGAATAGCAGTTTGACGTAAATTCCTCTGGGATGACTTTTGTTACAGCATGGAAAAAGCCATGGTTCTTGCCAAATGGTGGGTTTAAGATAGATTTCATTGGGGAAGAAGCCATAGATGGTGGACGTCCGAGGAGAGAATTCTTCACAGGTATAAAGTAAATCTTATTTTATTTATTCTTGAGATTTACCTTATGAATGCATTGGTAAATTATTGAGAATGTTAGTTGAAAAATTTAACAAAAAATGCAATTGTGTACAAAATTCTCAAACTTGAAACTTCTCTTTCTGTTAGACATTTTTTACTTGATTTGACAATTCTTACGATGGTGACTTCTAATTATCATAAAGATCTCATAAATTGTAAACTATTAAGGGAGTGGTCATTATTTATGGGGGGGGTTGGGAAATGGGGAAAATAAGGATTGAAAACTTTTTTGACCCCCCCCTATTTATAAGGGTAAAACGTCGTTTGCCCCCCCCCCTTCCCATTTCCCAACCCCCCTCCCCATAAATAATGACCACTCCCTAAATATAGAACTCAAAAAATTTTAGGTTATTGCTTGACTCATATTTACTAATACTAGAAAATAGAATAATAGTGGAAAATAGAATTATTACTAGAATATAATTAATATAATAATTACAGTAATATAATACAACAATTATTTTTCTCTCAGATATATTGGATGAGATTGAATTGCGTTTGTTTATTAATGAAACAGATGGATGTGGTAAATCACCACATGAGAATATAATTGCTGTTTCAAATGGGCATTTCCGTGTGGCTGGGGAGTTGATGGCTGCTTCAATTGTCCAAGGTGGGCCAGCACCAGATTTCATGGCTCCATGGGTGTATGACTACATATCAGCTGGGATCAAGGGTGTGACAGTCGATCAAGAGAAAGTGGTAGCCCAGCAATCCAAGGAGCTAATTTAACAGGGTAGGATATTGTAAATAACTTTAGTCAACAGAGCAGTGCATTGTGAGAAATATCCCAAATGCATAACAAAACAAGTCACCAGTCCATTTGGGAATGGGAAAGTAGAAAACTCATACATATTATGTATATTCACATATACTATGTCTGTGTGATATAGTACATGTCACAAGTAGATTATATAGTTATATAGCATTATCTGGTTAAATACTCTAATATCTATTTATGAATAGCTTCAAGAGGTGAATTCAGATAAGGCATTGCAAGATTTACTGATGGAAGAAGATGTACTAGAGCAGCTGGGGAATATAGGCTATCGTGGTGTGCCCCATCGTGAAACTCTCAAAAACAGGTCATCTTTAATAAGGTACATGTTGTAACAAATAACAGGTCATCGACCCGTTCACGATGACGTCATTGTACTACAACTACCAGAATTGTATCACTTATTGAGTAACAACCTTGAAAAACTTATACAATTGACACAAACGTGTATCAACTGTGCTTGAGTACAACAACAATTCATGTCGTTTGGCTGTTGCTTTAGTGTAAGGGCCCAAATGAGCGCCTTGATAGACAAGTTTTATTTGTCAAGGACATCTATTTTTGTACACTCGTCTGCAATTACACGAACCCGAAAGTAATCTTAGTCGACATATGGTTACATTTCAAATGTACATGTACACTTGCTGTTACATTTATGCACGTTTGTAGGTCCAGCCCATATTTTGAGTACTTGATATCACACAGATCCGAATATTAATGCCAATACTCTGTGCAAGAGGAAGCTTTGTACACACATTTTAGTAGTCAAAAATGCTTACAGTAATTTGATCTCAAATTTCGCTTTTTATTCTTATAAAAAATATGGATTATGGGCAGAACCTATAACCTACAAACAGCGAGAAAAGTCAAGTGTATGCTCTGAAACCGACCCTGTAGACTAACACAACCGGACATACATAAATTAGTATATGAGAGGTGATCGTCGTGCTTGTTATTTCTCATTATTTATCTCTACTTACATTGTAAAATAGATCGACGTGTATATATTTTTGTTCTGTATATTTGTTTCCTGTAGATCACTGTGCATTAAATCTTACCTGGTACCGAAAATTCCAATGCTCGACCAGTTATGCGAAGGGTTACAAACACTTGGGGTACTGGAACTTGCTAGGAAGAACCAAACTCAAATGAAGCCTATCTTTTACTCCAATTGGCAACAGTTTAATTACAAGTGATCAGTTATTGGACATTTTGTTGCCAAAGTACAGCGAAAGTACACAAATCAAAGAACAGGAAATTAACACGTTCAAAGCAATGTGTGACTTTATTCAGGAACTTTTTTTCCAAGGTTAGGGACAATGAAATGTATTGAAACTTAGCCGATTGTTGCTGACCATGTCAAGCCTTGTCCTCAATAACTCATAACATGATCAGGTTTCTAAATAGAATGTAACATAAAGTTTCCCCCCAAAAAGTACTGTACAACTTTATTTTTTAAAAACATCTATTTCTTTTGCATCCTGTAGCAATACCGGACTGTGATTCAACTATAGCGCATTTGCTGAATTTCATCACTGGAGTGAAAAAAATTCCTCCCTTGGAGTTCTCCAAGAAAATTGATGTTCATTTCCTCCATGGTTGCCAAGATGGATGCAAATGTCATCCAACAGCCTCAACCTGTTTCTTATACGTCCGATTGCCGGTACACTATCAAACATCAGAAGATATTACATTTGCTTGGTTGTCTGCTTTAAAAGATTGCCAAGGATTTGGACATGTATGAGACAGCTTTCATAGCCATACCGCTTTCACATTTATATACCGTTGTTGATTTTGTTAGTTTCGCTTCGACCATTTTTTTTGTTAAAGAAAAAGAGTCATAAAAGTATTTTCAGGCATAATATTCGTTTTATTGGAATTTTTCTATATTTCCGAGTGTGAAGTACCAGCAGGTACGATTGCATGTATTGTTGTTCCCCTAAAAAGGATATCGTTTTGTTATATTGTTTGGAAGGGCGGTCCAATCTGTTTTATTTCTAATCCCGACCTGTTCATCACAGTCAGTGACTTTAGAATCTAATAAATTCAAAAAGACGAAAATTATGCCTGGTTGTTGTGTTTGATGCAATATCATTTTTAATGAACAATTGCTATTGTTTTACCTTCTGTAATTTTATCATAAATAAATGCTTATTACAGTTATAGCTTTATAGTGGTTTTCAGTTTCAAACAATTTGAAAAATGACTATACGTAAAACAATAGTCAATAGTGGCCATAATAGTAGTAAAGACGAGTCACGACAGTGATGTATTTATAGGGTGGGTGAACAGGAGTGCAAGGGGGATGAAAAAAATACGTTTTTATGATGCTTTTGAACGTTCTAGTAATTTTATATAATCACTTTCCTGAAAGCAGCCTCAAGCAGGCTGAAAGAACTGTTAGCTGATTTGTTTTAAAGTGTGTTCTTTTGTAAGAACAACAACCACATTATGTAACGAAGTGAGTAACCATTTCTACTACTTGCAAGAATGAGTTGATACCATGGTTATTATCTTGTACCAAAGGATCTATGGTCAATGTCAAAATAGTACGCTCCTCGTCAGCTAGTTGTACTGTCGAGCGTGGAATGGCCACATGATTGTTTGTTTGAAGCTTGGGTAGCGGACCATTGTCATTGATTCCATATTGTTCAAAGTCAATATCATTTTGATTTAAAGCCGTTTGAACAGCTCGCTGACATGAGGAGGCATGCTGGTAAAACCCATCGACCCATATTTGAATAGGGGATCTGCAATTTTCTGTTCTTACTGGATGGTTATTCCAGGCTAGGGTAAATTCCTCTATAGAACGACTAATTCTGGGTAGATATATGTAATGCAAAGCATACAAATGAATTTCGTTTAATGGATCTAAAATGTGATTCTCTTCCATAAAGTAAAAAAGGCTTTTGTAGTAACGGAGGAAAGCATCCCCAACATCACGCCAAAGCCTCTCAATTTGCTGATTATGTACCGAAAGGC